TTCGAGTACTTGCAAAGAAGAGCAGCAAGAGCTAATTTCGACGTCATAGGAAATAAATATATGACGTACATCATCCAAATTACCAGCATGCAATATAATGAAGAACTAGAAGTAATATCAGAATGAGTTGAGATTAAATTAATACCTATTTGTTAGCATTGTTTGTTTATAGTACCATATTGTGAAATATAATTAGACGAAATTGATAAAAGCTTAATTGAAAAAGATCATGATATAAAGGAGAACGTTTTCAGTTGCATATTTGAGCCATGTAAATGTGTAAACGGTTATATTTATTTACAATCTGTTGCCTTATGGAAATAAACAATAATTGAATTAAAATTCTGTCAATAATCCCCAAAAATAGCGATTTCAAGCGATAACTTCAAAATAAAATCCAGCTATTGAAATCCTTCCTTTCGATAGTATTATTATCGGTTCAAGTTTACTTATATTTTGATGCACTAAGTTGTACAGTAATGGAGATGTTTAGAAGATCAGATTGGTCGAAAACTTCGGTTTTATTTAGTAAAACAAGGAATACAGCTGCTCACGATATACTGCAAGTAAGATCAAATACCACGTTGTTTTATTGTCTATTACTTTTAATACAATAACTAAACTAAACTAAGTGCGAATGCTAGTAGTCTGAAATGAGGCTATCTTAGATACCAAGAGAGCATTTCTGCTCATTGAAATGCAATTTATATTCAACTTTTCCAGGCCTGCTTGCCGCTATTTTATGTATTATTATTAACTTAGTCGTCTCTTAGCATACAATACTTTCATAAAATTTAAGTCTTTTGCTGGTTTAATAACGGTAAAGTTAGCATAGATATCATCAATTCGCATAAATCTCTACCGTTTAATTAAAAATTCTCCGTGACCACGATAGCAATTCTTTACTAAAATCATGATCATGCAAACATATCGTCTTGCCTTCTTTGCTATCATATCGAAAATTTTATCAACCTATTCATTACTCTCTATGCTAACGCTAATATTAGGCTGCAAAAAGTAGTGATATGCTGCTTTTACAGCAAGTTCTACCAAATGAAGGAATCGAAATATTTGCTAACCAACTAGACCGCGATCGTTTAGCCCCATTACACTATGCGGCAAGAGGTGGTAATGTTGAACTCATTGAAGGCTTAATTGCAAGAGGTGCAGGTTCGTTAATCATCCACTAGTAACTACTTACAATGCAAAAGATTTGATAATATTGACAGTATTTATAATAATTAATCATGAATCAATATGCATTATAATTATCAAATCCTAGACTATGAATGCCACTGGACCTAACTATTTCTTTATTATTTCGCCTTAGATATTAATATTAAAGGGCTAAATGACATAACACCACTACATTTGGCCTCAAAGCATAACAGATATGCAGCTGTAAGAGCACTACTAATGTTTAATGCTGATATAGAAGCTAAAGATACAAATTCTAATACGGCAATGCATTATGCAGCAAGAGGTGGAAATGAGAAGATTTGTGAGGTAAAACCGGAAAATATTATCGGTATTCTACTCCGCCAGTTTAAATAGTGTAGTCATTAGTAGCTATTGTCGGCGCTATGAACCCTTTTAGATCATTATGTAGAATACCACCGTTAAAAATTTACATCTACAGTTATATAGCGATTCTTTACTAAAGTTACTAATGTAAATCAAGACACAAAACATGCATTACCTGAAATCTAAGATTTATCGCACTTACTATACCAACGACTAGGATATAAAAGTTGAAGACGACAGCTTAATTTGGAATATTTAAAAAATTATAAAGTAAAATCAGTCGCAACAACTAGTTATTGATACATTTCTATTCTTATGGTTGCTCTAAGGTTAATGAGAATAAAAGTGCTTTACACTAGAATATGATTTCGTAATCAGTTATGTAATATTATGATCTTATATAGAAGATGCCTAGTATATTAATATCCTAATATACGAATACTTATCATATACCGTTTAAGTACTGTATTGTATTACATTCATAATGTACGACATCATGACCACATATAGACGACATGCTATACATATAAAGACATTATCTCAATCCCATCTAAAACCTATAAATACCCTTGTACGCTAACTCGTTAGTCAGTTCCTACGTTCCTGCTATCTCAAATACCTTATCTATAACAACCATATCATTGTTAGCCTGTAACTTGTATCTCAATAAAATCCTTTATACTTCTATCATCGTCTACCTTAAAATACTTAACGCTACTTAA